ATATATATAATATATATATATATATATATATATATATATATATCAGATTTATGACCATCTTGCTTCAAAAATGTGGAGTTCTAATAGAATAAAACGGGTACAAAAGTGATAATATCCCATATAATCTAGAAGATTCCCACTAAATTTGAAACCGCAAGGGTGGATGTGTAAGAAGATTTATAGTTGAGAAGGGTGATTGTAATTACCCAAACATGAGGGAGTTTTTCTTAAGAGTTAACTGCAAAAAATCCCCTAAACTTTGGACGTTTTTGCGCTTTACCCCCTGAACGGAAAAAAGTTGCACGAGCATACCTGAACTTGTTAAATTGTTGCACCGATGATGAAAAAATCCATTTATAGCAAAATTTCGGCCTGAATTGCACACGTGCAACTCACACGTGATAATGAGGGGGCAATTTCGTCGATTCACAAAACTTTCAGATAAAAGAATAAATAAAAAAAGAGAAAAGAAAAAGAAAAAAAGAAAAAGAAAAAAAAAAAGGGAACACGCCGCACCACCATCTCTCTCCACCGCCGCCGCACCATCTCTCTCCACTGCCGCCGCACCACCATCTCTCTCCACCGCCGCCGCACCACCATTTATCTCCACCGCCGCCGCACCATCTCTCTCCACCGCCGCCGCACCATCTCTCTCCACCGCCGCCGCACCACCATCTATCTCCATCACCGCCGCACCATCTTTTCTCTTTTTTTATTTATTCTTTTATCTGAAGAATAAACACAAATGAAACACAAAATCACTGGGTTTTTTTTCTCCATATAATTTCAAACCTTCAATCACAATTTCACAAATTACAACTTCAAAAAAAAAAAAAAATCAGTTTACAGTTCTTCAAATCATCCATTATTAATTCCAATATGAACTTTAAATTTTAAAAACCCTCCTAATCAATTAAAGAATTAATCAACCAACCCTTTTTTCTTCACGAGTAATGAAACATTAAAAAAAAGACAATTAAAAAATCATAAATTCTTACAAGCATAGATGATGAAAGAGAAATCAACTTTATCAAGATCCTTCTGCACTATCTTCTCTTCCAGCCACAACCTGCATTTCCCGGTGCACCGGGATTATAAAACCAGTCAAACACATCCCACATTAAAGAGAGGAGTTGTTTGTTTTGTTGCATCTTTTGGTTGGGGCTGGTGTTGATGGGAGGAGTTTGGTTGGGGATGATGGTTACGGGAAGAAGAGGCGTTTTTTTCCCTTTTTTTTTTTTTTTTTTTTTTTTCTTAGATTTATTAAAAAGATAAGAAAGAAAATGGGTGTAAAGGAAATGACGCATTTACCCCAGCTATATACACGTGTAAGGCACGTGACTTGGATTCCGGTCAATTTTGGCCAAAAATGGACATTTTGGACATTGGTGCTAAAAATAATAGAGTTCAGGTATGCTCGTGCAACTTTTTTCCGTTCAAGGGGTAAAGCGCAAAAACGTCCAAAGTTTAGGGGATTTTTTGCCAGTTAACCCTTTTCTTAATTTGACCATACCTCAAGGAGTTGTTTTAATTTACCCGCAAAAATAATGAAATTATTTATCTATTTTATCATAATAGAATAAATTATTTTGGATTATATTATGTTCAAAATAATTACAAGGGACCTTAAGATATAGGTGGTCCCTAGTGTGAAAACTTATTATAACTAAATGACAAGTTTAACTAAATCGTTACTACAATTCATTAATAAAATTAATTCAAAAAATGCCCCCACTCACAAATTTGAAATATGCTTTAATTAAAATTTATATTGCATTTATCATCTTTTTAGTCTGGAATATTTTCATTTTTCCATCTTATATTTTTATTTTTATTTTTACAAAAGAAACGTTTTTCGTTTCTTTGGCTGCGGCTATATGCAAGACTAATTCCACTTGTGCAAGACCAAATTAAAATTTTCAATGTATAAATACTATAATACCCTTATTTATTAAAAAAATAAAAAATTCCAAATATGCAAGACCAAAAATTCAAAAACACAAAAAACCCTATCACAAGACCACAAAACCACAAGACCAACTATCATCTTCTCCATCTTCCAAAACTCACAAGACCTTTCTCCTTCCTCCTCCATTAACCCAAAAAACCTAGAAATTCAAAATCATCAAAACTCAACAAATCTTACAAAGATGGCAAGTATGGAGTCAGAAGACATCAAAATAGAAGATTCTACGATGGAAGAACCCAAGAATGTATGCATTTATGGGTCTTTTTAGCTAGAATATCGATTTTCCAAAAAAAATCCCGCGCAAACGAATTCGACATGTACAGGTCGAATTTTACAGGTAAAAATCGACATTTAGATGTCGAATTTGAGGTATAAAATTCGACATTTAGATGTCGATTTTTAGGTATAAAATTCGACATTTGAATTTGTGCTACAAATTCGACATGTCAATGTCGATTTTTACCTATGAAATTCGACGCTTAAGTGTCGATTTGTAGCATAGTTTTTCGACACCTTGGTGTCGATTTTTGTTTTTTTCTCATTATTTGTATTTGGTCTTACATGAGAAAAAAAAGGCCATTTAATTTATGGGCATACTTGTCATTCCATCTTAATAAAATAGAATCTTTTGGATCTTTCTTTAATTTGGTCTTGCACAAGTGGAATGAGTATTGCATATAGCCGCAGCCCTTTTTTTTTTCTTTTTTTCTTGGGGCTCTTTGATATAACTCCCTCAATACTTTTTTTAATAGAGAAATGCCCAAACTATTTTACACCATTTGAGAAAACCCACTTCAAATTTTAGCCAATCGTTTTCTCTTTTATGTCCCTCCACCTTATACATCCCCATGACCCATCAACCCACTATCTCATGATCCATCAGCCCATTATCCCCATGACCCAGTCGTGTCTCTCTCTCTCCTTTTTTTTTCTTTTTTTATATTATTATTAATATTATTAATTTATTATTGTTATTATTATTTTATTTATTTATTTTTTAATTGTTTTAAAAAAAAATTGTTTAATTTTTTTTTTAATTTTTTTTTTTAACATTTTTTCTTTATCAGATATGTTAATCGACTATGAAGCATATTAAATCAACTATGATGAACTATAGTCGATTAAGGAACCAACTACTAAAAATAACAAATCATAACTACAAAAATGCAAACACAACTATATTTTACAAAAATAAACAATATAAAAACATTATAATTGATTTATACAATTGGATCAATAAACAAAAAATTCAAAAAAAAATAAAAAATTAGAGTCAATGAAGCATATTAATCGACTATGAAGCATAGTCGATTAAGAATCTGCTACTAAAAATAACAAATCACAACTGCGAAAAAATGCAAAATCAACTATATATTACAAAAACAAAAAATATACAAACATTATAAATGATTGGGTAATTGGCACTTTGCACCCTTAAATTACATGTTTTTGGCACTTTGCACCCTTAAATTGAAACAATAGCACTTTGCACCCTCCAATTATAATTTTCTTGGCACTTTGCACCCTAGTCCACCTTTTTGCTTGAAAATTGACCTGCAACCGGTTAACATTTAAGAGGGACTCAATCTCTTTCTTATTTCTCACATCATCTTTTCTCGACTCTCTTCCGCCGCCAAACATCTTTATTCGACCCTTCACTTTTCCTCCTCAACCACCGTGATCAGATGCTCCAATACCCGGAACCATACTCCGTACCTTCTCTCCTCCGACGGCATCGGCGTTGTAGGCATAGGCATTGCTCAGATGCTATTGCACACAAATATCTTTGGTGTAGTCGGCGGTGGGCCCAACCCCAGAGTTCTCCGGCAAAATCGTTCCGCTTCAAAGTAAAGCCCATTGGGCTCAGGGACGAGCGCATCGTGATGATGGTATGCTGAAGATTAACGTGATAACACAAAGGGGTGTTCAGTAGATTGGCTTTTCCTCTCTACTAGAGGTAGAAAAATCTGCACAACATGATGAATTTGATA